GGCGGGGGGGGGGGGGAAATCACATATAAACACACTACTAAAAATGGTTCACAAACAGTGCCCACCTGATTTTAGTACAATGCTTTTCAGTGTAGAAGTTGAACACTTCTACCTTGGCAGTCACTTCAGTCTGTGGTTGGGCAGGCTTGGTTTCATTTTGTAAATATTATAAACGGTTAGTTAATGTCATGTGTTTTTAAAGATAATTGCTTCCAGTACTTTAGGTTTCAGGGCTATTATGAACTAGGATGTGGATAGGCATACTAAGTCAGGTAGATGTATTAACAGAAAGAAACATTCAGCTTTCACACCTCTTTATTGTGTAACTGAAAATGAGAATACCACATGTCGCTTCATTGTTCCAATTAATGTAAAAGCCTCATCTTTAATTTGACCTTGTGCAGTATACAGGATAAAACACACACTAGAAACTAAACTCCAAAATCATTTGGAATTGTACTAGGCTGTGAAGCGGTGCTAGGGAAATATCAGAACAACTGCCAAAGATATGTGTCTATTCCTTTACTCTACCCCAAAAGCAGCGCTTATGCAATCACTCTGAACAACACAGTAACTAGAGAGATATGACAGTTGTTAAGTCATAACCATATGTGGCAACCAGGATGCCAAGTCAGTGTGATATGCCATTGAACACATTACTTGTGCTGCTAAATGGCACTGAAAGAATGAGCTGCACTCTGGATAAAAAGACATGTGGCATAGGTTCCAATAATTCCTAGCTCCTTCACAACTGTTGCTCTTTACAGCCTAATTGTAGCTTCATAGTATATACATTACATAAATTAGGGGGGAATAACATGTATTCAAAGGCATTACTTTTTTGTATTTCTAATTGCTCTCCACAACTACTGTGCTCATTTCAGCAATGCCTAAAGTGACATTAAACCCTCAGATTTTTTAACATAAAACAATACTGTAATGTGTGTCTTACTGTAATTCATGGTAGTTTCCCTTCTCTTTGCTGCTCTTCCTTTTAAATCTGTATCTGTTCTCATGCTGGGCAGAACTTCTGTTTTGCAGCAGACTGCCTCGTCTCTGGAATGGATACATGGTGTCTGTGTGTAGGTTCACAACCTGAGCCAGCACTACAGGAAGAGGCACCCAGCTGCAAAGGAAAGTTCTCCCCAAGCATGAGAAGAGATACAGATTTAAAAGGAAGAGCAGCAAAGAGAACAGAAACTACCATGGATTACAGTAAGGCACACATTACAGTATTATGTTAAAAAATCTGAGGGTTTAATGTCACTTTAAGGTGCCCATACACTGCACGATTCTCGTACGAGAATCGCGGGAAATCCCGCGATCGTACGAGAATCGTGCAGTGTGAATGAAGACGTGCGACCGTTTCTACTGTACGGTCGCACGTCTTTTGTCTAAGAAGCATGCTAGAAAACCAGCCG